TACAGAATAATTCTTCCCAAAATGAAAAGAATGTACCTTTTTCGGTGTAGCGGTACCTCAAACTCTAAAAAAACAACGGACGCAAGGAATCGGCGAGAAGCACAATAACTCAATTTTTTTAAAAGAATGCAGAAAACCAGTGGTTCATCAACGGTAGTTGAATCGAACGGTTCAGTCCAACAACCATCGTGGTTTGGTTCAGTTCAGAGAGTTTCTCTTAGCTCCTTCTCCTTTCATACCCATTTGCGTCGTTCAAAATCTCAACAATCCCCTAATGAATGGAGAATACTGGGTTTTCAAAATTATACAGAAAATTATGTGATTCCCGACTAAGAATTATTTGTATCAAAATAATTGGATTTCTCTGTAAACCTTACCATGTGAACATATATTGAGTATACTCACTTATTGGTAGATCTGATATCTTTGAACCATCAGTTTTCCTCGTATACCAAGATAACATATGTCACACAACCAACTATTATTTGTTCATTGATTCTCGCTATTATGTTCATTTTTTCCATGAGCACCATTGGTCTCAAGAATGCTTAGAGAACATGCCTTCTTTTATTCTCCTTAAAGCGACTCTACTTCACACTCGCATAGGTGTTTTTTAAATGAGTATGCTAAAAATACACTATTTGAATACATGATGTTTCAAACATAGAAACCATTAAAACATTTCATCTTTAGGTTTACCCTTCCTATTAGACATTGTATCATCATGAGAATGGACTTGAATAATTTGACATTGTTAGACCATCATGGGAATTTTATTGTATTAGCCTCACATCGGCATCCGCCTCACAAAGTAGAGTTTACGGATTTAGATATTATTTTTCACAACTTTGTATTGTCCTTGAACCTAGAGGTTGGGTCTACCAATCCTACTTAGGTAAAGCTACCATCATAATGATTTGTCCTACACCACATGTCCATTCTCTTGAATACTTTAATTAGTCTCTAGGTGGGTCCTACATTTGATTAAGATGATCAACTCAAATAACTTCGCTAGAAATTAATTGATCAATAGTGTTATGTTATAGCAGCACAATCGCCCTGAACACTGCACAGCATCCCGCTCTGACTAGCACAACAACCCACCCTCTTCAAAACATTTATATGGAAGCTAATTACGGCTAAAGCCATTTTTCAGAAGCGTCATACTGATGTTCACTCTGAAAATATATACATTCTCATTCACTATGAAGTTTGGGCATCTCTCTTAGCGTTAGAGAAGGCGACTTCCAAGCAATGTAGTCAAAAGCACGTATTTTACGTAAAACCGTTTTGATGATCTAGAATCGTAAAACCGTAAGCTTTTAAGATTAAAGCACGTTTTTAACTACATTAGCTATAAAAACAGAGATTTTGCGTAGAAGCGTTTTGGTAACCCAGAAGCGTAAAACCGTAAGTTAGCTCCTAATGAAGAAAATGAGTAAACTAGCATAATATATAGTTAATTGAAAATTAAATTTAGGGCACTTCTAATTGAGAATGGTTGACTAGAGATCATGTGTTCGAATCTTGGCGAATCCAATTATTAAGCACATCATATTCAAATTTGTGAAAAATTTAATCACGTATAAGGTAAGATGGGAAATGTTAGTAAATACTAAATAGTATAAGATACATTATTAAATTTTTCTCAACAACTCGAGTTATTGATATGAAACGGTATTGACAAAGAACACCATTCAAAATCAAATGTCTAACTAAATCATGAATAATTATTTGATACATATAGAGTGATATTCTTGATAGTTTCAAAATATATTCATTTTTCAAGTTTTTGTAAATACAAAATTATATTATCAATAATTTAAAAAGCAAACAAAACTATTTTATCGTATGTATGTTTTTTAAAATGGACCCACCCTCGACAAAATCTTTACTACACCCGTGCTTCTAGCCCTTCAACTTAATTTGTACCTTCACAAAGTGCATTTGACGCCTAGTATTTGCAGGTCAGGCTATTGAACTTCACCGATCTTTTAGTGGGTATTACAATTCAATTTGAATATTTTTCAAGATATTGCTCCCCATTAACCATAAGTGCATATCCTTTAATGGATTATGCCCCTTCGTTCATCTAGTGAGTTCCTTTGGGCACCCAACCACCTAAGACGTGTCTCTTCCAATCACAGTTAATGAATCAACAAATTGATCCCTACCAAATTCATGAAACAATTTATGTTGGAACATAGAGTTATCAATTTCTATCAATACACAAGTAACCGCGAATTCCCCTCTTATGATAGTCGAATTCAATATTTAGAAAATTGATCAAACAACAAAAAGATGAACAATCAAAATCATGATACAATTTTCTTTCAGACATGTGAACAATAAGATAAAGTAAAATAAAATTCCTTCAGAGTGTTCTGAAACTCTCACGCATACAGAATTTCTTTTAAAACAAGTTACCTATAAGATCATGAAATGATGTAAGCACATGCAATCGTCCAACCGACAAACTACATTGCATGTCCTGGAGGAATTTTTTTCCCTTCTATTTTTCTCTCTACCTAAAACTAGAGGGACTTGGTGTTTTTTATAGAAAATGAAGGAGTGTGTGCGAAGCAAAGCAATTCTTTGGGTGTTGCATTAGTTTGTTCAAGTCTCTCACCATCGCATCGGTTCATCATTATGGTAGTTAACAAAACGAAGGGTTTACTCCAACCACCATCATGGTTCGGTTCCATACATAGCCTACTCAATTTGGGTTGGTTACACAAACCAATCCTACCAAGCATCTAAAGATCAAGTCGATGGAAATGGAATCATAAACCGAGACCGCCTTTCCACGTCTCATAGATATTGTGGTATTACAAGAGTTTTTCTTTACTCCTTTTCCTTTCATTTTCATTTACACCATTCAAAATCCAAACAAGAAACTTACACAGGCCCCAATAATGAAGATAAAGAAGCTCATCAAAGGCATATACGTACAACAATCTTTCTCAATCACACACTACAAGATCTGAAGGTTCTTACTGCCCAATTTGCCACCAAATCGACAGGAATTAACTCGTGTATGAAAGCTGAAAAGTAAAGATAATGCCTTAATTGCAAATTTGCAATAGAGTCCGATCAGGTGTCCAATCCCACACTCTTCGTGGTCGTCAAAACAGTTACCTCTGCTTATGATCATTTCTCCTGATTGTTGTTTACATTGAGATAAGTTTGTTATCATCATGCTTTCTCATGTTAATGGGTGAATTAGTCCACCCTTCTCTCTCCCTTCTTATCTTTTTTTGGTTTACAAGGAGGCCTAGGCCAAAGAAGGAGAAACAAAGAGAGAGAGGAGGATTACAAATTGGGAGAAGTAGGGACTAGGATTTGTCTATCGAAGGAGACCTATTATCATTTGGAAGGATAAGCTCTAAAGATGGATTAACCAACTCATGTATACCGTAAGGTTAGACGATACTATATTTTGAAAGCCCGTTCGCATCTCTTCTTATATATATATATATATAGCTTCGGCCTACAATGAAATGAATAAAAATCAGAAGCTAGCCATTCAATACCATCCTACCAAGAATTCAGCACTGTACTACTGCATGGTCCTCTCTCTGACAAGTTACCATTAACAATTAATACCCTTTTCACCATTGGTAACTCATTTTTGTTTGTGTTTGAATGAAACCATGGCATGCAGCGCAGAGAATGCTTGTTAAGTCATTTTGCTTGCTGCCTGACTTACTGCGAGGCTCATTATGAGCACCCTATTTATTGATTGCTGATCTGGTACCTAGCTCCATGGTTGTCAGTCAAACTTATTTCAAGCCTGGCCCAAACTAACCAACCACCTTAATGAGTTTTCTCAGAAGAACCAAACTGGCCCACTAATTTGGGATTACGCTAACCCTGTTCAAAGGGTTTGGCAATTGGCATCAGCTTTCTGTTTTTGAAGAATAATTTCCATAAAAAAAAAATTAATGTATCCTAGTGTAAATATAATATATAGGGGTACTAAGCTGCAACTTTTTTAACAATTCATGAATCTATTAATTTCATCGAATTTCGATCAAATAGATTATATTAGTTAAATTTTTTTAGTTGATGGATTAAAGTTGGGTGCACATGAGCTCTAACCCATTTTATTGATCATACGAGGTTCCGACGCAGCTAAAACATCACGGAATAACCAGTTACACAGTCCTGGCTCATCAATATCAACTACGGAGCTACCTACCGGGATTTAAATTGGATTGAACTGGATTGGATTCAAATTTTCAAGTTTTACTACCAATGTCTAGTTTTAGTATTGATGAATTTATTGGAGTAGAAATTTAATATACGTGTATGTCACTTTTCTTTGAAATGCAGCAAGTGAAAGAAGTTTACACTCAAAATTTGTTTACCCCAGTATCTAAAAATAGAATCATGCGAGTAATGTTTTATATGATTAAGGTGAGAACATCAAAATCATTTATTAATCATAAAAATATTGTCCAATGTTCAAGGTCGTATCAACTCATTAGCAGTACCAAGAATAATATATATAGATGAACATTTTCTCTTTCAACTAGGGATGGCAATTTTGATCTGAGCCGTTTTACCCGATCCGTTTGACCTGTTTTGGGGCGGGTCCGACCCTCCCCGTAGGCGGGGTGGGCATGGGTATTCTCATCGACCCGACCTGCCCTGACCCATCCCATTCTTGACCCGTTCTTGCCTATATTACATGTAATTTTAGTCAAATTACTTAGAATTCTCCTTTTATCATATCATATTTTAGCTATTATAAAGTTGTAAATTAGTAAAAATCTCAATTTCTCCAATAATTCAATTATATTTTATCATATTATGATTTATTTTTTTTATAATAAAAATAATGAATATTTCTAATGCTTTCCATATAAATTGAATACTCATTGGATCGACCTGCCCCTACCCGCGCCCCATGATAATTTACGCGACCTGGACCCGACCTGCTACGGAGGCGAGTATGAATATCGTGATACCCGCCCCAGACCTGCCCATTGCCATTCCTGCTTTTTAACAATTGACGAAAGAGATAGACAAAAACTTTTAGTACAATTTGTCTCATTAAACATCTAGTCTGTCCCAATACCCCCCAAAACCCATGGCTTTCTTTCTTGAGAGCCATTTTTAACCCTAGCTAGTCACTGCTTTGAACAGTTATTTGATCAAAATACACCATCTGCACTTACCTATATATATATATCCTCCCCCTCCACAACGATTACCCAAAAAAAAATTCTGATCAAACAAAATGACGAGAGTAACACAAAGACCGATGATGAGGAAGAAAAAAAATCAATTAGCGCAATCCATTTCCGTCACATAATTAAAGAATTTAATAACTTGGCGCCGGCGGTGGCGGTGGCGAAGACGTCATTGGCAGGCCGGGTTCCGGCCGGGCCCGCCGTAGTAGAAGTGGGTGCCCCACTCGTTGCTGTAGCTGCTCTTGATGTCGTAGCAGTTGGTGTTCTCGGCCAACGTGTAGATGTCTTGGGCCGAGCTGAGGCTGTTGTCGGAGTCCACGATCTCCAGGTTCCTGAAGTAGCTGGCCTTCCCGAACCCGTCCGTGGCGAAGCGGCCCGAGCCCATTTGGGTGGACGTGTGCTGGCCGTTGGCCCGCGAGTTGACCACCTCGCCGCCCCACTCCACCATGGTGGCGTGTTGGGCCAAGTGGGTGAACAGCTCCGCGGGCCAGTAGCCTACCAGTGTGGTGTCCCCGAAGCTCATCCACCAGTTCCCCAGTTTTGGGTCCTAGTTAATAATTTCATTTATCAAACAAAACATAAGAAAGAAAGAAAGAAATAGGGCTTGCAAAATTTGATCTTATTTTGTGGATGGAGCGTACCTTCCAAATGAGGATGGTGATGTCGTATTGGCTGCCGGTAAAGGAAGAGACGGGAGAGATGGCGGCTCCAATGGCGATCCTGCTGTTGGTTTGCACGAATCCTGAGCATAGCAGATTGTAGCATCCTGTGGCTTGATAGGAGTCGCTCTGCAATTCCACCAACAAAACAAAATATCGAAAATCGCTTAATCGTCAGGTTCAAAATTAGCGATAATACCACTACATCAAATGTTTATTAACGAATCGTCGGTCATTATTAAATTGGATTGTTTAATTGGTTCGTGATCCCGTTATGATGATGGTTCTCTCCTTTTGGGGGCTTTTTGCCCCATCACGAAGGCTTACTTACATACACGAGTATGTCATCATTCCATTCCCTTCCCTTCCCTTCCCTTGAAAGACAAGGCTAAAAGTCTCTAGAAATGAAAAGTTATCATCGTTTGTTGTAGAATTATTGTGACACAATGACGGATCCACCATACCCTTCTAAAGGATTGACACATATCCCTCATTAATAAGTGGTACCTATAAGAACAAAGTCCAAATGCCTTCAAGCCCATGCTGTAATATATATGAGCCATTTCCTATCTGACATATATATAAATGAAGCCAAAAGCGGGGAAATCATTTTGGTAAGTTCCACTAACTTTCCCTAGCTTGGCATATTAATAAGTTGGTACTATATTTTGTAATACATTATGATTATGTTGAATTCTTATGTTTATATTGGATTGTTAGATCTAGGAGAGATCATTGTACACATTTATATTATTATATACCATGTTGTTTTGGAGGAAAAGATAGAGAGAGCTTTTACTTCTCCACATGTAAGTTGGTCACCAATCTTGTCAAAGTGGGAAAATACAGTTAGGAGTGCGTCACCATGTTTATTCATTTGTCAACAACATCAAAAGCTTCCCTTTTTCTTTTCCCCCTCTAAGAATAAGAAGCAAACAGTGAAAAGAGTACATTACATTGGGTTGGTTGGGTGGCTGTCTTGTTCACCATTACTAATTAAGCTTGTCCCAAAAATCCCTTTATAACTTGTGATCCATATTCCACCCTTCTTCTCATAGACCAGAACAATGCACTATAGCTTCTTTCTTGATATGATTTAATTTCCCATCTAAATTCGTCACATAAATATCACATATGTCTATCGAACGAAATTCTTCCTTCTAAAATGAAACCTAAGATCTCACCGTCTCAAACTTAGTAGCTTGATGTCTTGCTTAATGGCTTGAGTTTTTATTCCTTTTTTATGAGAGATAAGTAGACCACTATAGTTGAAGTTGACTTTTCGAACCATCAACTATATATATGGCATTTAAGGTCCAGCTAACGATCTGAAGCATTAAGTATGTATAATTAGGTGCAGTTGGGGAAGGGGGGGAGTTTGTCATGATCAGTACGGTGTGCACGTCCTCCACCATTACTGGCATTATTTTATTCCCTAAACTCTACTCTAATTAATGCTTTCGTAATTAGGGTTTGGCATATTCATGTATAATAATTGAAGTTAGTACAATTTTAGCATTAACTAGAGATTAGAAGAAAACTTAAGGAGAAACAGAGGGGGAGAGAGAGAGCTTACAGTTCAATAGGTAAAGAGTCGTGGCCTGCTATCCCCATAGAGCTCCGGACTGACCTGACTAGTACAATTCTTCCCATACTTCAGAAAAATTATATATATAACAAAACAATTTCTGGAGAAATGATAGGGTGCGTGCGGGGACAGGAAATGGAAGGAAGTACCTGCCACCCGGCTTCGATGCTGTTGAGATCGGAACCGTCGAATGATCCGGAGAGAACCCAGATCTGGGAGAGGCTGAACTCGTTCACCACTTGGATGGATGGGTCCCACACGTTGATCGTCGCCTTCGCTCCATACACCTCCGTCGATGCTCCCGTGTACGCGATCGCATGCTGTTTAGTTTGTTCCCACATCATCCCATTAGTCCATTTCCAAATTCCAACCCCACCTCCATATTTAATTATCCACTTTCCTCTTTCAATTTAAAAATAAATTCCACAACTATTTATTATTTACTACAAAAAGAAAAAGAATTGAGGGCTTCAATATCTCAGAGGAGGTTTGAACAAAGAAATTAAAGGATGAAATTGTGTTTCACTTCTATCAAATTAAATTAAATTATTTAATATTTTTTTAGAAATTAACTGAGTAGAACTGTCAAAAAATTAACTAAACACCACTTGCAGTCTTGCATTACCAAGAACAATAGAGATGCAACATTTACAACTTCATTCTAAGTCAAACTCCAAAATTTGTTTTCTGAAATTATCTAGTCAAATAACAACATTTTCACAAATTTCTCACCCAAAAAAAACATTTTCACAATTTTGGCGATTTGAATGTCACTCATTTCACAAAATTCTTGGGTTCCTCAACCCAACAACTAATTAATCTTCTCTTAGTAAATTAGATGAGTGAGATTCTACACACACACCCATATATATATAATGTCCTATTAAGATAACTCCTATTTTTAATTAATTCAAACTGTGTACATTGACTTGTTTTTCTATAGTAATAGGGACAGTACTGAAATTATTAAACTTATAAATATTAAAAAAAAGAAACTGCGACGTAAATGGCCCGCAACGGCACGTAGCTAGCGTTGGGAATGCATATTAATTGGAAGAAAAAAAAATACCTCGTGGCCGTTGCCGCTGACGACGTCGGGGGCGTCGGGGCGGCGGGAGAGGTGGACGGGGAAGCGGGACCGCCGCTGCTTCTTCCCAAAGTCAAACAAAGACTTGGCTCTCAGCACATCCTCCACCGAGCTCCGCCGCACGGGTACGGTGCCCTTGGGGCAGCGCGTCCCGTTCCGGTGCCACATTTGCCATTCAACTTCCACTGCCGACTTATTCTCCTCCTCCGCCGCCGCCTCAGTCTTCCCGTCCCCTGCTTTTTGGTCCTTCTCCGGTGCCACCTTTTTCACCTTGGGCATTTGCGATGGCGCTCGCTGTTTACAAAAAAAAAATATTAGTATTACATCAATCAAATTAATTAAGTAATGCAGCTTTGATTGTGCATACAAATTGATGAATCATTACGCAGATTACGAGATATAATTATTGTTATTATTATTATTATTATTAGAGTGGTTGCAATTAATGAATCATCAGTCCCAATCGATTACAGCACAAAATATTAATCAGTGGGGAGTAATGATCATGTGGGTTTAGAGAGAGAGAGAGAAAGATTGGTAGAGAAAAAGGGGTGAACTCTGCTTTGCTTCTAAGGCTCATTTGTGATGAAAATCATAATGTTAAATGTTAATCCTTCCTCTAAACCTCTTTACCAACATCATTTTGTAACTATTTATTGTGTTTTATGCAAGACAAAGAAATAATAATAATAACAATTAAAATGAAGAATATAGAGTAGAGGAGAGGAGCATGCATGGGTACCTGGATCCTGTGGTTGCTGAGGAGGGGATGGTCGAAAGCAGGCTGTTTCTTGTTATGAACACAGTCAATGATATCCCCATCTGGGCTCTGAATGGTGAGGAGAGGGGGCTTGTTGATCCTGTTCAAATGCCTGTGGATTCTGTGGAGCCTCAAACTGCTGACTTGTCTGCTGTAATCCGGTGATGAGGAGGAATTAGTCAACCCAGCCGCTGTTGGTGTAGCCAAAGCAAGATAGAGTGGAAGAAGAAGAAGAAGCAGAAGAAGAAGGTGGTTAAGAGAAGAAGTAGTGGTAGTAAAGGAAGTTAATGGAAGCCCTGATCTTTCTCCATCTCCTTGTTGTAATCCTGATATGAATCCTCCTCTCTTTCTGCTGCTGCAGCTGGGATCATCATCATTATTATTATTATTAACCGAAAACCGACCGGCCATTCTATTTCTACTTCCGGCCACCCACATTCACAATACTAGTATGTATTCAGCGCATCTCAGACACCACAACCAAAAACAGGCCACTCTGCTACGGCCACCGCACCATTACTGGTAAAAAAGAAACAGCTTTCCCTCTCTCTCTCAGCAAAGCAAAGCAAGCACCAAAAACCCACACAGATTCCCCGCCCCAAGCTGCAGGCTGGAAAATGACTCTCTTTCTTTCTCTTTCTTTCTCCCTCCCTGTGTGTTCTGTGAGCGGGGAGGTGGAAATAACTCTCTCTATCTCTAATGGCTAGAAACGGGGAAAGAGAGGGAAAAGAAGAAAGGAAGGGCAGGGCTGGTATTAATGGAGAGGGGAAGGGAAAGTGGGTGGGTGGAGGGGAGAAGAGAAGAGAAGAGTTATAAAGGTTTTGTCAACCAAACTTGCATTCAACATTTATATATATGTATATATATCTATCTATCATTGCCTACTGCTACCACATTTGCTTCTTCGCAGAGATTTGCTTTAATTTGCTTAGCTGATTGGGTTTTCGGGTTTGGGTATTAACTGCATGGATAACCCCAGCTCAAGCACAGGAAAAGACAAAAGACAAGAGAAAAAAAAGGACAAGTTGGAGACAGGTTGTTAAGAGGGGGAAAAATAATGTCACACAAAGGGAATTAGGAAGAAATGAAGGAAGTTGGAGAGATGTATTAGTGTGATAATTAAAAAAAAATGCATTAGTTAATGATCAGGTTAATATCACTCAAAGGTCATGAGTACTTTGATCGTTGATCACTTACAATTATTAGAGTTTATCGTTGGAGGTGTGTTTAGAGACAGGTAGGGTTGATTATTGAAGAGTTGCACGATTAGTCTGGGAGAACTCTAATTAGTCATGCGTTGAGCTATGGGTTGCACTCAAAAGAATAGAGATAGTGTGAAAAATTAATTAGAAACCGAATAAAGTCGCTTTCCGCTTAATTCATACGATCAACCTAATACCTTCTTGTGAGTACAAGAGCATCCGAGCTTTGTTCTCACTTTCATTTCCTTAATTACTCCAAAGACAAATGGGAAGTCTATATATATAGTTTACATTTTAGAGACACCAACTTTTTAGCATATTGTTTAGTGCATATATAAGGTCGTTCACTCATTCGGTAACCTGAATTTGGATCTCATCTTATTAGTTGTTCTCGCCATGAAACACATGAACTTTTGCATCCCACTTGAGTAACGATAAAGAGAGACAGTGGCGATTACACCCTTTTATAAAATTATATTTGTGATACCAAATTACAAAACATTTTTCCTCCTGATTTCTTTTTAATCTGCCTTCAGGTGGCGATTTCCATTGACTATTATATTTACCAAAACTAGTATATAAAAAATGAAATATTGTTAGTTATTTTCATTTCACATAGTCACGTCGGAGACTATATAATCTCTGTTAAACATTAGTGACCCAATTATATTAAATATAAAGTGAATATCATTTCAAAAAATTCATGACTCAAATATAAATATTTGACAAAGTTTGGGTGTTTAAGCTAATATTACTCTTTCAAATAATAATAAGAAGTTTAACTGAATCTATCTAACCTTAATACACACCTACCCAACCAGCAGACAGCTCCCCTTTTATTGCACTCCTTCAATGTCCATCTGCCCCACCCCTACTTCCCCCCAAGTCATTACATTTATTTATCTTTTTTTTTTCTTTTTCTTATCCATAAAGCAAAGGCAAGCCAACTAGCCAAAACTCTGTCGTTTCAAACCTCTTTCTGCTATATGAGAAGGTTTTTTTTTTTTTTTAGCAAACTCTAATTTGCGCTTAACCATTATTCATTAATTAAAATAACAATTTTAATGCTAACCAGATCAAAATACAATCAGTAGTTTAATGCGATGATAGGAAAACAAAAAACATGCAATCCCTCCACACGATGATGCTCTATGTCTATCGAAGATTAAAAAAAAAAAAAAATCTGCGAAATTTTTTATTTCGTTGTATCTCAACGCTATAAGTTAAACAATGCAATATTTACATTAGTAAAAGTCGAAGCCAATGTAGCTTGTTGTGTGTGCTATTGGTATATTATTATATTTATTTATATTATTATTATATAATTAATAACGCTAACGGGTCAAAGCGGCTCAAGATAGGGTGCATAACCATGGGTTATGCACCCATCAATAACCAAATCTGGACCCTTCATTTAGAAAATTCAGATCTAAGGATGGAGAATTAAAAGCTATTTTTATTTTCACTAGCTTTCTTAATTGACTCATATCTTTTTTGTTTTAACTCGGATTTTAATTTTTTTTGCACAGATGAAACGAGTTCACCGTGCTCTACAAAATGAGATCAAATTTCAATATTTTTTTAGGAAAAAAAATTCTGGCCTCTCGGTACCAACGACATACCATATGGTATCTTCTTCGTTTTTAATTCGTTTTTGAAAACGTTTGCACAGCAGGGATGAGTTCATCATGATCTACTGGATCTACAAATTTCTGGTTGAACAAATTACAGGACCAAAAAATACCACACAATACCATACAATACCACCCTGGTACGGGGTGGTATTTTATGGTATACAATGTTAAAAGTCGTAAATGAAAATTAATATACTTCTATTATCATGTATTCAATCATCCTACAGTCTTGGTTTGTTCATACCACCATGGTACGCTTTTGAACCCATAGGTATGCTCTTATTTCAATACCAGTCAATACCATATGGTATAGACTGGTAAAAAATGGCTCAATTTTTTTTGTTCGAAAAATATATAAAAGTGGATATCATTTTGAAGAGCACAATTAATCTGATCTAACTGTGCAAAAAAAATTAAATTTCGACTTAAAATGAGCGAGAAATCGTCCATCAAAGATTAAAGAGGGAAAAATTAAAGGCTTTCCATGAGAGAGAGGATGCTGATGTCATGCTGATGTTGACGGGTTACTCATGGTTACTCACCATAAGGTTACTGACCTGATCCATTCCCGGTCAAAGCGGGAATGGATCAGGTCAGTAACTTTATGGTGAGTAACTATGAGTAACCCGCCCACATCAGCATGACATCAGCATCCTCTCTCTTCTGGAAAGCCTTTAATTTTCCCCTCCTTAATCTTTGACGGACGATTTCTCACTCGTTTAAGTCGAAATTTAATTTTTTTTTGCACAGTTAGATCAGATTAATTGTGCTCTTCAAAATGATATCCACTTTTATATATTTTTCGAACAAAAAAAATTGAGCCATTTTTTACCAGTCTATACCATATGGTATTGACTGGTATTGAAATAAGAGCATACCTATGGGTTCAAAAGCGTACCATGGTGGTATGAACAAACCAAGACTGTAGGATGATTGAATACATGATAATAGAAGTATATTAATTTTCATTTACGACTTTTAACATTGTATACCATAAAATACCACCCCGTACCAGGGTGGTATTGTATGGTATTGTGTGGTATTTTTTGGTCTTGTAATTTGTTCACCCATAAATTTGTAGATCCAATAGATCATGATGAACTCGTCCCTGCTGTGCAAACGTTTTCAAAAACGAATGAAAAACGAAGAAAATACCATATGGTATGCAGTTGGTACCGAGAGGCCAGAATTTTTTTTTTCCTCAAAAAATATTGAAAATTGATCTCATTTTGTAGAGCACGATGAACTCGTTCCATCTGTGCAAAAAAAATTAAAATCCGAGTTAAAACGAAAAAGATATGAGTCAATTAAGAAAACTAGTGAAAATAAAAATAGCCTTTAATTCTCCATCCTTAGATCTGGATTTTCTAAATGAAGGGTCCAGATTTGGTTATTGATGGGTGCATAACCAATAATCGACTCATATCTTTTTTATTTTAACTCGGATTTTAATTTTTTTTACACAGATGGAACGAGTTCATCGTGCTCTACAAAATGAGATCAATTTTCAATATTTTTTGAGAAAAAAAATTTTGGCCTCTCGGTACCAACTGCATACCATATGGTATTTTCTTCGTTTTTAATTCGTTTTTGAAAACTTTTGCACAGAAGGGACGAGTTCATCATAATCTATTGGATCTAAAAATGTCTGGGTGAACAAATTACATGACAAAAAAATACCACACAATACCATACTATACCACCCTGGTATGGGGTGGTATATTGTGGTACACAATGATAAAAGTCGTAAATGACAGTTAATATACTTCATGTATTCAACCATCCTACAGTCTTGGTTTGTTCATACCACCATGGTACACTTTTCAAACCATAGGTATGTTCTTATTTCAATACCAGTCAATACCATATGGTATAGACTGGTAAAAAATGGCTCAATTTTTTTTGTTCGAAAAATATATCAAAATGGATATCATTTTGAAGAGCACAATTAATCTGATCTAACTGTGCAAAAAAATTAAATTTTGACTTAAAACGAGTAAGAAATCGTCTGTCAAAGATTAAGGAGGGAAAAATTAAAGGCTTTCCGGGAGAGAGAGGGATGCTGATGTCATGCTGATGTAGGCTGGTTACTCACCATAAGGTTACTGACCTGATCCGTTCCCGCCAAAACCTGCCGCACTGTTCCTTATAAAAAAGTAGGGTAGTAAAAAAAATTTGCCGAGTGTGCAGTTCAAAAAAAATCTACCCAATTTTATTATAAGTTCTTTGTTATTCGAATTATTCTAAGATTTTATAAAATTAATTACTTTTTACATAATCGTTTAATAAATGTGATATTTTTTTTAACTTGATTTTTGTTCCATGTATCTAATAGAATATGTAAAATCATTTATTTTTTATGTAACCGTTAAATAAATATGGTTTTTTTAATTTGATTTTTAACCTTTGTACCCAATTTTACCATAAACTCTTTGTTGTTTGCATTACTCTAAGATCTTGTAATATCAATTACTTTCTACATAACAATTTAATAAATGTGATATTTTATGAACTAGATTTTATTAGACCTATGAAAGTTTTGTGTAACAATATTCTATAATAGTGAGAATGGGGTTTTATCCTCCCTCTTGTATGATAGGATTTGTGTAACACAATTCTATAATAGTGACAATGAATTTCTATCCCCTCTCCTGTAGGAAGGATTTGTGTAACACATTTCTATAATAGTGACAATAGATTTTTATCCCCTCTCCTTTACCTAATTTCAACATAACTTGGTTATTTTCATTACTCCAATGTTTTGCAAAACTAGTTACGTTTTTGGATAACATTTTAATCAAATGTGATATTTTTCAAAACACAATCATTTACTATTGATTAAAATTTCTTCATCATTAACTAAAATGTTGACCTTCATATGCTTTTCCAAGTCAGTATCATGTTGCCAAGTCAATATTACTAACAAAATTGCTAACTTAAAGTTAACATTTGGCTAATTTTTAGTATTTCGATAGGTTTGGATAATAT